TGCTCAGCTCTTCCTCACAATTTTACAATGATGCTATTCAAAGTCATCCTGTTTTCAAGTACATATTTTACGTTTTTAATTTTAAAATATCATTATGTAACCTACGTGTTCTACAGATCTGTGTACAAGTGTTATGATACTGATTTTGATCGTATTGACAGGGCTCAACGCTATGGAAATTTATATTTAAATTAATTTACCGGTTTGGCCAGTGGTTTAAATTTTTTTACTTGCCCTGGCAAAATTTTCACAATTAATCAATCAATCAATCAATCAATCCCACTTATTGTTTTCATTGTTGACTATAACATTGTATTGTAATAAATGATAACCATTTTGCACAAATAGGTACAATAGTTCAAAGATAAAACTGAAATGAAGCATGCTTTTTCAGGTCTTTCAGGTAGGTCTAACTCTATTCCAGTTAAGGATGCACTGATCAGGATTTTTCTTGACCGATTCCAATTGCCGATTGTTTTGTTTAGTTTTGTTTTCTATCAAATGAGCCGATTCCCATAGTCGTTGCCAATTTATTTAGTTTTTATTACTTTTATTTATTTTTTTACATTTATTAAATGTTTATTTTTCTCTGTTACTGGCCAAACTAACTTTGAACAAAAAAAAAAACAACAACAAAAACATCAGACGGGCTGAATGAATATTTTATTATTACTCTTTATTATTATTAGTGTTTTATTACCTTAATTATATGTATGTCTGCACTATGACTGTAAGCTACTTTCTGTACTGGAAGCTCCTGACACCAAGACGAACTCCTTGTGTGTGTAAACACACTTGACAATAAAGCTCTTTCTGATTCTGATGAAAATGCAGATTCAATCTCTGACAGCAGGTGGCGCTTATAGAGCACTAGCAGCGTTTTCTGGGTTATTGCTGTACGCAGAGCTGCGCTTTTTAACACTCCTTTAATATGTATTTAACGAAGGTAAGAGGAAAAAGAAAATGCCAAAGAAACTTTTCTGAAGACAGTCAGTTCTCCTCAGAAATACATCCATATTAACCCCCACCCTAATTCTATAATTATGGTTTTCTTTCAGTATTTCGAGCATCGCAAACAATGAATTTGTTCTGTCTGGTACAGTATTTTCTCTGCTTGCACGACTATTCTCTCCTCTTTGTGTTCGTCTTCAGTGCATCTGTAGATTGAAACAAATGTGCTTCAGCCAGAAAAAAGGGTATGAAAAGTGCTCCGAGTCGCTGCAGAAAACAAAAAAATTGAACAACAACAAAAACTGGAAATGTTGCTGGAGACGGGCTTATTTAAAATGAAAACTCATTCTCTGCCAGCAGGAGGCAGATCAAATTAATCAGATCAAATGAAAATGCCAAAGAAACTTTTCTGAAGACAGTCAATTCCCTTCAGAGATACATTCATATAAAACACCCGCGCCGTGTTATGATTTTGAAACGTGCAGTGCTCATGTTTATTCAACGAAGTCAAACGGCACAAATAAATCAATGTATGGGAAACGACAGTCAGTTCTCCTCAGAAATACATCCATATTAACCCCCACCCTAATTCTATAATTATGGTTTTCTTTCAGTATTTCGAGCATGGCAAATAATGAATTGTTCTGTCTGGAACAGTATTTTCTCTGCTTGCGTGACTATTCTCTCCTCTTTGTGTCCGTCTTCAGTGCATCTGTCTTACAGATAATATATCATGATGATCACTACGTTTGTGTTACCGAATTGCATCCTGTCAGGAATAACCTGCCCGTGCTGTTTTTAACCTGGTCGGTTTTGATCAGATATTGAAAAACAAACAAAACAATCTAAAAATAAATAAACCGCAATGAGTCCAAATCTTGAGTTATGGAAATAATATAAAGATATCGCTGTCCCTAACTTGCAACCTCCCACTTTATTCACTTCCTAAATTAAGCGGGAAAAAAAAAAATCCATAGACGCTTATAATACGTGTATCTGGCAACCCAACTGAGGCTGAGCCGCGTCGGCGCGTCCTCAATCACAGCTCGCTTAAGGGACGAGGCCATGTAACTTTTTCACGATGATAATATTTTAATTTTTTTAAACTCACATAGCTTGCTGAAATACTTCTGCGGCCGCCTCATCTACCTCAGCCATGCTGATCATGACCTGTCCCGGTGACCCTGATCGCGCCTGACCTGCCTTCCGTTTCCACTATACACTCTCTCACACACAGTGTTGGGCAACTTCCAAAATGTAATACATTATATATTACTAGTTACTGTGTTTTAAAAGTAATTAGTTACATTACAATATGACTGTCTCTGAATTGTAATGTGTTACACTACTTTTGAGTTACTTTTGAGTTACTTTTACCAAAATATCCACAGAAGTATTATAAAATGCCAAAATGTAGTTTATTGCTGCTCATTCTACATCCAGTGGAGGGTAATATAGCATAAAATTATACAATCATATTTAGATGCCGGTATGTAGGTTTACATTAATGTTACTTTGTAGTTTAGGTTAAACACAGATAAGCAGAAATCACATTATTACATTAATAAATAACACCGTAAATAAAGCGAAATGTTATTTTATAGGCAATTTTGAACAGTTTCAGAAGAAAACAAGAATGAAAAATATGTTGCTAAACAAGCCAAAACGAATTAGGCTAATCAGTGGCGGCGCTAGGGCGGGCTTGACGGGGCCCATCAGAAACTTGCTTAGCCCCGGCACAGCCCCCCCAAGGAGTTCCTATGATGTTCCCTTATTTTTGGTGTCACTTTCATTAACATTAAAAAAATAAACAT